GACGGTCGTAATTTGTCTGGGCCCTATAGCCCTGGTGCCTTAAGGTTTGTCGGCTTTTGTTCAGTTTTATGACTTGCTAGTATATCTGGATTGTGGCTGTCTTGGACCAGTGGTTTCAGTTGAGAGGAGAGCTGCATAGACAGAGGAAGCTAAACAGGATTTCTTTCAGGAGCCCCAGAGAGACTCACAGAGGCCAGTTATTTTGCGGGTGTCCAGGTCCCAGAAGACCCCACGCCCTAAATCCGCGGAGGAGAGCCCACTCACAGCACCACTGGTGCCTGAGGCAGCGGTTAAGTGGACCGGGGCCGAGCTGTCCAGGGTCACCCCCTCCCCCTGCTGGGCCTCCCCCACCTGGCGGCCCTCCGCTAGGCCACGCGTTTCCTGCTCGCCGGAGGTGGGGGGGAGCGACAAAGGGGGGGGGGAGGGTCGCGGGAGCGCGCGCCTCAGCGGGCGGGCGGCTAGGAGGGAGATGGGGGTGGGGAGCGAGAGGCTGCGGGTAGCAAGTCGAAGAGGCCGCGACCAGACACAGGACTGGGCTCGGTGCTGTCCCCTGCGCTTTCCGGTCGTCCGAGGAGGCTGCCGCACAGTTCTGCTTCGTGAAGCTGCAGAATCTAGGGAACCCTGGGCAGGCCGCTTGGTCTCCCCTCTCTTCTCGTCTCCCCTCTTTGCTTTTTCCTCCTCTTTTCTCCTTCCCCCTTCTCCCTTTTTCTCTCTCATTCTCCTAGGCGTACCTTCCTGCGGACCGGTGGCTTTTTCCTCCACCACGGGTTTAGGGCAGTGGCTGGCGCAGGGTGCGGAGGGCTGGTCTGGGCACGATCACAGCGCAGGGCTCTTTCCTTGGTGGCGACGGTGGCGGCAACGGAGGCGGCGGCGGGCGAGGCAGCCCGGCGCCGGCAGCAACAGAACTGGTCGGTGATTTAGGTAGTTTCCTGTTGTTGGGATCCACCTTTCTCTCGACAGCACGACACTGCCTTCATTACTTCAGTTGAAAGCGTCTCCAGGTACCAGCCGGGGTGGCCAGGCCGGCCATCAAGGCCTTAATCGTGCCAGGCCTGCGGTGGCATCCTCGGATCCCCAGTGCAGGAGGAGCTTCGGGTCCTCTGCGCTGTGCCATCCAGCCCGCCTCGCGCTTTGCGCCCCACACCTGGCCCGGGGCAGGTACGGTCAGGTTAGGGGCTGATTCTGGGACGCGGGGGGCGTGGTAAGAATTCTGGACCCCGGGCCATTCAAGGTCAGGGGCGCTCTCTCGCAGTCTGAGCTTTCCCTACTGTAGACCTGCGCCTCTCTGGGGCTCTACCTTCTCCTGCGAGACTGGGCTGGGACTCGGACGCACCACTGTAATCCCGCCTTGAGCCGACGGAAAATTCGTTCGCCCGTAGATCCCCGGGCTGAGGGCTGAGATAGGAGAGTCGGGACCTTCCCGGGCTGCTATCCTGGTCTTGTCGCTTACCCTTCCGTCTGCAAGCACGCCCTCTGCTCCCCAAGTCGCCGCTGTGTATTTCACGTATTTCCATCCTCTTTCCTTCTTTCGTTCTTTCTTATCATTTTCTTTTTCCTTTTCGTTGCTCTTTCCCTTATTTCCGTTTCTTTTTTCTTGTGTCTTGCATCTTTCTGTCCAGTTCTCTGTCTCTCGGTTTCCTTTCCAAATCGCCATTCCCGAGGGGAAAGGGCTAGCTTGGAGAAAGTTTTTGAAGCTTTCATTTTTCTCTCGGTGCACGAGCTTGAGTCTGCTGAGGAAGGGGAGCATAAAGGAGGCTGTTCGTGTACGCGGTTTTTGGCCTGGTGGGCCTCTGCGCAGACAAGGCCTCGGTTACGATCACGACCGGATGGCGGCGGCCTTGCGTTAGCAGCTGCCCCAGAGATCCGTTGAGAGGGTACCCGCGGCGTCTTTGTGTGCCCATACCGAGGGCAGGGAAGGAAACCTTCGCTAGTTCCACTGGTTCGGAAGCTGGAATCAGAGCGGAAGCCCGGCCTAGGTTCTGTGGAGCCTGGTTACCGAAAGAGCTCCCGGCAGGAAGCTTCATGTCAGCTCTGCCAGCTTTACCGGCCCTAACTCGGGCTTTGACCGTGATGAAGGAGCCTCGCTGGGGCCAAGGCTTGACTGCTTGCTGGCTTGCCAGCGGTAGCAGATCCAGAAAACGTTAGCCTAGTCCTGCCCCCCCCCTTTTATCCAGCTGGGTGTTTGGGAAGGAGGCCTTTCCCAACTCCACTACCTTTTAAATGAGTGGAAACAATGCCACATTTAAGAACTAAAAGGACACAGGCTTACGTATTGATTTTAAATCGCAATCTATGAAAGCCACCCTAATCACTCTCAATACAGAAAACTGAAAACAAACCATCCCTTCCCCCCTGCAGCACACTCTCTAGCCTGAGACCACAGAATTCTGTTTCCCTTCCCAGCTCAGGCTGGGAATTGTTTTCCTTGCTGAGCTCAACAACCTGTTATCTGAAATACCAGTACTCCCGGTTCCCGCCAACTCTTCTCTGCCATTTTCTGGATCCGGGTATTGGATTTATTTCAGAGGCCAAGGTTTCAGGAACATTCTCAGTTGGGAATGCGGTGGTTTGTAATTATAACCATTTATTGTTTCTAGATGTGCATTCAAACCCTTTCACATACAAAAGAAAGGAAGAATAAAACGCTAAACACTCTAGCATCCAATCTCTGGGCTTATAAGAACAGTATCTGCTTTTGGGGAATCCTCCCCCTTCTTCCACCAGTAAACAGCAGCTTGACACTCAATGCCTGATATTTATTTTGTAATTCTCCTACTTGGAGACTAATGTTGTTTTAAAAGCTACAACAATAATAATAACAACAACAACAACATCCCATGTCTGCTCTTGGTAAAAAAAAAAAAGCGAAAAGGCAGACAGGCATGCTCTGCCACTCACAGACAGTTTAGAGCAGAGGTGTACGCTAGGGTCATTGCCTAAATGAAAATCTGCACCGCAGAGGACTGCCGGATATTTAGAACACCTTGGACTGTGCTGGGGGTAGGGGTAAGAATGACTTGGAAAATTTTGCAAGAAAAGAAAAATATTAGGGGGAGGGGACTGAGGCAGCAGGGACAAGCCACTTCCAGTTCCTGGTGTTGGCCACTTTCTTCTTTCTGCCGACAAGCAAAGAAGGAGGCTAGTATTCCTGGGGTGGCACAGCCTCCCTGGCTGGAAGAGCCTAATATTGTGGCGATTCCTATCTCCTGGAATGGGAATGTGTTAGAGTGTTGGAAGGTGTTTACTTGAGCTATTTTGTGACAAAGTAGGCAAAAAGAAAGATGGAAGTGTCTTAGGCCAGCCGTTTTGCTTATAGTGAAGTGAGGTAATGAGAAACACACTCTTGGGAGGCGCAGAATTCACACGTGAATTTCATTACACAGTTTCTAGGAGTTGTTGCTTTGTGTTCCGAATTGGGATAGGGTCACCCCCCTCCCCAATGAACAACAGTGGCTGTGGCCTTTTCACTTTCTCTCATCCCCGAAAGATTCTAAGGGGTGAGAAACAACATTTGGCCAAAGGATGAATGAGATTAAAGTCAATGTCCAATGCTCCTCCCGGGAGGATCTGTAGCACTGGACTTGAGCTGTTAGTCGCCTAGTTTTGGGGATCTCTGTTGCTTTGTTTCGCAGAAAACCAAGGCTAGAGACAGGAAGGAAGAAAAAGGGAGGGAGGGAGGAGGAGAAAAGAAAGAGAAGGGAAGAGAGTGGAAGGAATGGAGTGGGGTAGGGGTAAAATGAGGAGAAAAAGATCCGGAAGGGCTCGTACTGGGCCCTGGAAAGGCCACTACCAATGCTGGTGCTCTTCTTTTAGGCTAGGTTGCCCTTCAGCAAAACAAACTCCCCTAGTACTGATGTTTTTCCCCAACTCCGGTCCGGGGAGAGGGCTTACAGATGATGGAGCTGAGAACCGGGTCGCTGGTTGAGAAATCATTCGCTGAACCGCTTGTGCTCAAAGTCGTGGGCCTGGGCCCAGGCGGTGCTTGTGACACAATTAGATCCTTAAACCCTTGCAGGCAGCTGGCAGTTCCCTTCTTGGCAGTTTCTCTGTGGAGCCTTCCCTTGTGGAGTAAGGACGATTTGGGTGCTGTGCAAGCGTCTGACTAACTACTGGTCTAGCAAGGCCCCCCGTAACCCAGTCTAGGTGGTTGTAGCATCGATGGGATGGTGAGACGCGGCAGGGGAGGTGGTCACTCTGTTTGAGGTGGAGAGAGCCTTGTATTTGACTTTTTGAGGCGGGCCTGGGGGGATACTCGCATCTCGGAGGACCAAAAGGATTATTTACAAGGTGCTCACCAACCAAACACAACAGTCTAATTTAACCTTTCCAAGTCCTCATAAATTTTTACAGGGAGCCGCAGTGAGGCAAAAGAATCTGTTGGTTGTTCCTGACTTCCCACCAGCCTGTGTGGCTTCCGAAACAATAACTCCTTATGAAATATCATAAATATAGATTTAAATACAGTAGAGTGAGAATGCGTTTGGCTGCTTTCTTTATGGCTTCAATTATTGTCTAATTTTATGTGAGGGGCTCTGCTAGCAGCACTCGCACGCGGGACCCGCGCCTTCCTGATGGCGTGATTAATTGTGATATAAAATAGTCCGCTTAAGAAGTGTGTGTGTCTGGTGTGTGTGTGTGTGTGTGTGTGTCTGTGTGTGTCGAGGGGGGTGACAAGGCAGAGTACAGAGGCAAGGCCAGATTTGATCTTTTAATCTTCGTTGGCCACAATTAAAACAAACCAGATTGTGGAGCGGCGCGATCCCTTTGCATAAAAACATATGGCTTTTGCTATAAAAATTATGACTGCAAAACACCGGGCCATTAATAGCGTGCGGAGTGATTTACGCGTTATTGTTCTGCCGGGCGGACACGTGACGCGCGTGGCCAATGGGGGCGCGGGCGCCGGCAACTTATTAGGTGACTGTACTTCACCCCCCCCCCCTGGTGCCACCAAGTTGTTACATGAAATCTGCAGTTTCATAATTTCGGCGGGTCGGGTTGGGCCGGTCAGGCGCGGGCTACTGCGATGGCCACCACCGGGGCCCTGGGCAACTACTATGTGGACTCCTTCCTGCTGGGCGCCGACGCTGCTGACGAACTGGGCGCCGGACGCTACGCTCCAGGGGCCCTGAGCCAACCCCCAAGACAGGCGGCAGCACTGGCTGAACACCCCGACTTTAGCCCTTGCAGCTTCCAATCCAAGGCGGCGGTGTTCGGTGCCTCGTGGAACCCGGTGCACGCGGCGGGCGCCAATGCGGTACCTGCCGCCGTGTATCACCACCACCACCACCCCTACGTGCACCCCCAGGCGCCCGTGGCCGCGGCGGCGCCGGACGGCAGGTACATGCGCTCCTGGCTGGAGCCCACGCCCGGCGCGCTCTCCTTCGCGGGCTTGCCCTCCAGCCGGCCTTATGGCATTAAACCTGAACCGCTGTCGGCCAGAAGGGGTGACTGTCCCACGCTTGACACTCACACTTTGTCCCTGACTGACTATGCTTGTGGTTCTCCTCCAGTTGATAGAGAAAAACAACCCAGCGAAGGCGCCTTCTCCGAAAACAATGCCGAGAATGAGAGCGGCGGAGACAAGCCCCCCATCGATCCCAGTAAGTGTCTCCTCCCTGCAAGCCGGCCGCTGCCTCCACGCCGGCCACCGGGATCTACCAGCGTGTCAACTTTCTCTCGAGCCTGCCTTCGTCCTCGATGGGAGCCTCTGGATCTGGGGGTCGAGAACCAGAAGTTGGTGTTTGGAACACCTAAGATAGGGGCCCCAAGTCCAGAGAACTGCGCGGAGCAGTCCGGGTCGGCTGGGGGAAGGGGAGGAGGATGCTGCAGCAAGAGGGGGCGGGGCGGGCGCAGCGAATTGAGCCGAGACCCGCCGCCCCTCTGCTAAACGGCCCAGGCCCAGGACAGACAGACTTTGGGCGGTTCTTCGAAAGCAACGCAGAGAAGTCTTTTGTGCGGCTAGATTGTTTACGAACTGCGGCAGCAACGTCAGCCGGGCAACCTGACCCGGGACGCTGGGGGAGACCTCCGATTCCCTCCACTTCTTGCTTTCGGCCGGTGGCTGCATAAATCCTGCCCAAGACGAGGCTACGGCCTGTGGAGCCACGAGGGGTCCCTTGGCCAGATTTATTCAAATAAAGTGGAGACGCCAGCAAAGGCCTTGGGGCATCCTGCCTCCCGCCTAGCTCTCAAGGCCTTCCGGGAAGGTCAAATAGAGTGGGGACTGTCACAGGGAAGACGGGGAAGGGAGACACTGAAGAGAGAAAGAGCATACTTGTTTAATCTTGCTTCACGGACGCGGGGCAGCCTGCTCTTTGCTTTGCTGGCAAAAAGAAAATGGTTTCCAAATTTCACTCTTTCACAACGTGCAGACTGTGGGAGGAAGGAGAGCAGGGGACGGGAGAGAGGAGGGTGGGGATGGGAGGGGTGCTGGTGTAGGTGACCCTCCGTGGGTCGGTCTGCCAGGGCTCATTGTGTTTTCTCTAACCAATTCAGCAGCATCCTGCACTTCGGCCAGAGACCCCCACCCCCAGAGGCTCCTTCCCACCCTTCCAGGACACGTTCTTCTAAACCAGTGTCTCTCTCCCCTGCAGATAACCCGGCCGCCAACTGGCTTCATGCTCGCTCCACACGGAAGAAACGGTGCCCGTATACAAAGCATCAGACGCTGGAACTGGAGAAAGAGTTTCTGTTCAACATGTATCTCACGAGGGACCGGAGGTACGAGGTGGCCCGGCTGCTCAACCTCACCGAGAGGCAGGTTAAGATCTGGTTCCAGAACCGCAGGATGAAAATGAAGAAGATCAACAAGGACCGAGCAAAAGACGAATGAGCCATGCGGGGCTCATTTAGGAAAGAGCAAGCTAGAAAGAAAAAGAAAGGACTGTCTGTTCCCTTCTCCCTCCTCTCCCTCCATCCCACCGGCTCAAAGCGGCTCTAAACCCCAGGCCTCATCTCCCCCTGGCAGTCCCTGCTCAGGCTGGCTCATAGGCCTGCCGGCTTTATTGGAGGAGGTATTGTACGCTTTCCATTTTCTATAAGACACACACACAAGGGAGGGCATTAGCTCTGATGGCTGTACTGCTAGCTTGTATATATATTTAAAAAAAATCTACCTGCTTCTGACTTAAAGCAAAAGGAGAAAAAAAAACTACCTTTTTATATAAAATGCACAACTGTTGACGGGCTGTATAGTTTTTAGTCTCTGTAGTTAATTTAATTTGCTCTTTGTGTGGCAGGTCACGCTGCCAAAATACTTGAACACTGTGTTTTACTGTGGTAATTATGTTTTGTGACCCAAACTTCTGTGCTGGGTGAGGCACCCATTTGTGATCGTGGAAGCTAGAATTCGATTTGAACTCAGGTTGTTTAGGGGGAAGAGAAGCAGTTGCATTGCGTATAGCTCTGTAGTGGGATACTGTGTAACTAGACTGTGCACTAGCTGTAAGGATTTCCCAGTGAAATCAGATTCAGAAAGAGAAGGCAGGTAGTTCTCCAGGACGCAGAGATTCACCATTTCTCTCCTTTTGAAATGTGGGCATCCTCATCTTTACATGTTCCAGGTTCCAGTCTTGTCCAATGTATATAGAATCTCCATATTAAAGAGACACGCTTAATCAGACAGGCTTGAGAATTGTTTTCGCACCAGAGGAGAAATAAGGAATTTCGGAGCTATACATATGTGCAGAGGGTTACTACCTATGGTTTACGCTTAATTTTAATTGGGGGGGGGAATGAGTGCTTATTGTAATGGAGTTAATCTTATTGATAATAAATTATACACCATGAAACCGCCATTAGGCTACTGTAGATTTATATCCTTGATGAATTTGGGGTTCCCATCTGACTGAACGTACACTGTATATTTTGCAATAGTTACCTCAAGGCCTACTGACCAAATTGTTGTGTTGAAATATTTAACTTTTGCCAAATAAAATATATTGATTCTTTTACTTTGTGCGGATCTGTTCTTTGTACCTTCTTTTTCTGGGTCTATTTTCTGGGTGGAGGCAGGGCTGAGATGAAGGGAAAAGAACCGTAATTCTGTCTTCAGCAAGGTGCTTGAGCTGGCATCTGCGGTAACCAGTTCGGCCAGGCCTAAACTCTCCCGACTCATCCAGTTACTGGGTCGGGTCGGTAGAAGCAGGGGCAGAAAGCGGTGGGAGGCGGGGGACACAACTCGGGCAAAGCCAGTCACTTGGGCCTCGTGTCTTATTTGTCAGAAGGCAAGAGAGGCATCTGAGGTCCTGGACAGAAGCACTGGGCAGCGGTGGCCAGCAGCGATGGAAAAGTCTTTTTTTTTTTTTTCCCCATTTTGGTGCCTCAAAAAAATTTCCCAAACCTGAACCCACAAAAAGGACTGGGGCCTTTGGAAGTAGAGTGGTCGAGTTGAGGGGCGCAGGACCAGAAGCTGAGGGCCTGTGGCCTGCTCTGAAGAGATGAATGGGAGCCAGATATGGACAATGAAGTGGGCCCTTGATATATTCGGAGCTTTCCAGGAGATGGAAAATCTGCACCCCTCCTGCCCCACTGGGTCCTGCCAACCGGTCCAGGGTAGGTTGGGAGGGGAGACAGTGTCAGTGTCCTACACTGCTACGCCACCTCCGGAGCTTAAGTCCTCACAGAAGCAGGCCTTAGCAACCGACAAGCCCCAAAGTGCCATAAAAGAAAATGAGGGCTGTTACCCTTTATGGGGTGTAAAGGGCTGCGTGGGGGGAACAACTACAATTTCGGAGGCTCAAGCGCCTTCCAGATGAAGCCAGAGGATTCTGCGTTGTTTCTCCCCCAAACTCCTTTTCTTCACAACTCTCCCCCCTCCCTGCCCCGCAATGTTGACTGTCTCCTAGTCTCCTAATGCGAGAAAGGGGTATCAGGGCGCCGGTGGATGGGGCGCCCCCACCCCCAATGCGCCGCCAGGTTGGCATGCCCTCTGTTGTTGCAGACAGAAAGAACTTCAAAGCCTGGGCAGTAAGGGTGTGCCATAAAGGAAGGTCTGCGAACTGTCTGGAATTCGGCTCTTAATGAGTTTACAACTGTCCAGCTCCAATTAGGGTATCCCACCAAAACCCTTTCATTTGTTTGCTCTGTCTGCCTCCGATAAAGAGACTGCGGAAACAGCCTCTTTTATGGGCATTGCCCTTTTTGCAGCATAGATTCCCGGCTCCCCGAGGATCCTGGGGGACAGGGCCCTCGCTCCGCCCATGGGAGTGGGACACTGGTGGGGTCACCGGCGCTGCCGAAGTTCACGCGGGCCCGAGCCGCTGCGGCTGCAGTGCCAAGAAAAATCCAGGAGATGGCAGTGTGGCTCCACGCAAGAGGCACTCCAGCCGCCATCTCCCGCCGCCGCGACCTAGGAAGCTCCTAAAATGTCGACTTGAAACGCGCCTTTCTGGAATGGGATCTGCATGACCAGCAGTCGTTTATTTTCTCTGCTGCTCATGCCAACCTGAAAGCCTCCCGGGGACACAAGCATGCGCCGGGGCTTGCCTGACCGCCGGCGCTCGCTTCTCTCATCTCAGGCTCTATTCCGAGACCACTGCATTGTGTGGGAGCCGTGGTGAAGAAGGTGCGGGACTGCAGCTCAGAGAGCAGGTTCCATTCCAGGGTCACAGTCCCCAACCCAGCAGTGACCTAGGGGTAGCGAGGCACGCGGGGACAGTCATTCACGATGGACGGACGGACGGACAAACAAGAGATCGAAAACCTACAGCCCCAGGACTAGATGACCCCACAAAGAAAACACCCAGTGACCACGGGTTCCACCGACCCTCGAGGCCCGAAACCTGCGCCCTGGTTTAGGGCCTAGCGGGCCAGCACCAGAAAGAGAGTGAGAGAGCACAGACATCAGGACTCGGCCGGTTTGAATACCTGACTTTAAAATTCGGCGGCTGAAAATTGGTTAGTTATGAAACCGTATTTGGTGGTTGTCTAGTGTAGAACTGCCGCGAATTTTGGCCGCGCTGGGGTAACTCAGAGCATACACTAGGAACTGTATTTGAAAATAAATGATATGTTTAAATAAGTAGAATAACACCGGAGCTCCAGGACTGGCGGTCATGAGGTTGAAATCGCCCTTGTTTCTCTGGCAGAGATATTTGGCAATGGAATACCAAGGCTACTGTGGCTGGCGTCGCCGGCTGTGGAAGCTAAAAGCAAAAAAATAAAAAATAAAAAAATAAAAAAACCCAATCCACTCCCAGCCTACTTTTAATACTAGATACGGGGACATACTCTGGAGCAAATGCGGCCGGGGTGCGAGGATCAGCCCCCGGTGTAGGATGGTTTTGGAAAGAAAGCACAGGAGTAGACAGAGAACCAGTCTTTCGAAGCGCTGCAAGTAAAGGCTGGGCTGTGCATTTATTTGGGTCGTAATAGTCTCGGCCAAACCCACAAAGAGCTGACGACTCGCATCTCCGTGCTGAACACGTTGTAAAACTAGGGACTCGATTTTGGCTGACACCTCTCCTGGGTCTCCGTGTGTGTGTCTCTCTCTCTCTCTCTCTCTCTCTCTCCCTCCCTCCCTCCCTCCTACTCCCTTTTTAAAATCTTCCTATATCCACGTGGGCATTACAGACACACAGCATGATTGTATTTCTGTATGTAACACACACTACTTCACAGCCTGTGCTTGTAAGAAGGGCTTTATAGCTTCCTGGAGAGTCACCGGTGCTCGCCTACCCTAATCCTCAGAAAGCTTTCTTTATGTAACTGCAAATAAGCGGCGAACCCGCTAACCAGTGGGCACAAATAGAAGCTTTCATTTATATAACAATGAAAGCCACAGGTTGGGGGCACTCCTTCTCTCAGCCGATCACAGAGGCCCCAGGTAGGTGCGGGCCTCTAGAGGCTCAGAGGCCTGGTGAACTGCCTAGGCCGGCAGCCTCCCTTGCCCTTGGCCGACTGGCGGCCGGCAGGCTGCTCTCTGGTTTTCGCTACTTGAGAGGCTTCATCCAGGCAGGACCCGGCAAGAAACCGAGCTTATTTTTTCCGCTTCGGGGAGGAATTGATGTCCGCATCCAAGCTACAATTCGCTTGCCAGGTGGGGGACAGAAGCTGAAGCCAGCAGTCTATGCGGGGGAGAAGGATAGAAACCTTTAAAGACCCCAAACTCGGAACCATTCGACTCTCTAGAAAATGCCATTCTCTGTCAAGGGCTGAGTTTATATTCTATATCTAGATTTAAACATTGAGGACTATTTGGCGACAGGAAACACAGGAAGCAAACTCTGACAGTAGGTCTGAGACCTAAATCTGGGAAAGCGTTGAGAAATATTTAGATTGTTTTGCAGATTAAAAGCTGGTTTATAAGGCGTCTTCTTCAGGGCCTGAGTTGAATAGTATGTGAATATTATCATACTGAGAAATAAATTTCTGTCAAATAAATAGGGAACCAATGGCCAGAGAACGTAGAATTAAATAGGCTTTATTGAGAGTCTGATTTTGTCCAGACTTTTGTGTTGTGAAGTCTAGCCAGAGAAGAGAGACTCAGAAACGAAGGGAAGGTTTTCGGTGACCTCGAGACCCCTGCTCAGATGGAAGACTTGTGCTCACAAGTGCCAAGGCCTTGAAAGCAGCAGAATTTGGACCATATTTGGCCGTGATAAACGGGGACAGAGCCTCTTGCCCGGACTCCTTGGTCGTGTCCGTGCCAAATACAGACGACCTTCCAAGGCGTGTGAGTGTGATTTTTCCTGGGACCCCTCAAATCGCTCCGTACTCTGGATGTCAGGCCTCTTCTAAAGGAAGGTTCTACTTTCACATCATCGTCGCTTTAGACTGCGCCAGTCGCCAGAGTCTAGACAGACCGCGGCAGCCTGCCTAGCCTTTCACTTTGCGCCTTGCTTAGTGTCACCCCAGGAACAATTTATTGGTCTAAAGCCGCCTAATTTCTCCACTTTGATCTCCTAGCCTTCTTTTTGTTAGCTTCGTCTTCCTTTAGCTTTTTTAGAATTTTATTTCTCTGTTACAAGACGCTGTTATTTGGATTCTCCCCCCTTCCTGTTTTACCCCCTCTGTTTCCCATCCTGATCCGCCATAAAGGGGATCCCGGATATTGTCGCCCTAGGGTTCCTATGCTCCGGGGGAGATAGCCCAGATCCCACCTGCCCTCCTCCCTACCAAAGTCTGGCACCCTTTGCTAGGTAGGTGCTGGGGCTCCCTTGTAGCGGGATTTGAACCGTCCTTCCTCTTTTGTGCTTCCAAGATCCCCTGAGAGGATGCGGTGAACCGGGGGAGGGGGGTAGCCTGGACCTACTGAAAGTGATAAGAAAATGCTTTGTACACCAGCAACCAAACTCTATAATTTAGAGGAGCATTTCCGGGGCAATTCCATTGTGAAGTCGGGTTTATGATGTGCAATCGAGTTGAGCAGTAAAAGGTGGCCAATCTTCCAGCACGGCCTGGGCAGTTTATGAGGCGTTTAGGGAAAGAGTTCACCCAAGTATCCTTCAGAGAGCGGTGGGCAGCAGGGCCTTCATCTGATCTATCACTGCTGGGGGTCTGAAGCCCCGCAAGGTAGGCGCCCAGGGTGAGAGACTGCGTTTGGGAGAGAATGAGACTGCCTTTGTGCAGAAAGAAAGAAAGAAAGAAAGAAAGGTGAAGTTGTGAGATCCAGTTGGCCCTTGAGAGGGTTCCTTATTTGCTTTTTATAGTCTCCTAAAAAACCGGGGTTCCGCCGTGGGCTACAGCCCCAATCCCTGAGACACCCCCCCTTTTCTCTCTAAACGAGCTTTAAAAGTCTGTTTCCCGGCCCACAAGGTGGAGGTCCAGGGGTAAATTGGTTGAAAGCTGCTCCAAACCTTTCATTATGAAGGATGTATTTAGAAAATTGTGGGCTCAAGCTTCCAAGCTACGGGAGGATGACCCAGTCTTCCCGTGATCCGGGGGTAACACCAGGGGTTGTGGGAAGGACAAAGGGGGTG